ATTAATTAATTACTCACATTCCGCGCGTTCCTTTAAATTTCTACATCATGAATAAACTGTTAGTAACTTCAATAAAAATTATAAGTAAATGGAAATTAAATTAAATTAAAAGTAGAGTTGATTTGGTCCAAACCCTCAGTTATTTGTACCTTTCACGCCTTGGTTTAAGGACGGAACCTCGGGTTAAGTATAGACTCCTTGGAGTGCTTAAGGGAATTATTATGGAAGAATAAGGAGGCTAGAAATTAGGTTAAAGAGGGAGAAGAGAATGATTTTTGGTATAAGGTGAGAGAGAATGATTATTGGTGCCCCGTACATCAGAAATGAGGGGGTATTTATAGAGAAAATGTGTTGAGGGAGCACACGGAACCCTAAAATGATAAAAACCCTAAAAAAGTATCCCGTGACACGGAAAACTGTACTGTGACACAGGAAGTCCCACCGTCAGACGACAAACTTTCCCGCGACACGATACATTTTTAGTGTGACGCGGGAAATTTTCAGAAAACGGGAAAGAAAACGCATTAAGGGTTTACGCGGAAAAGACACAGAATGTCCTGTTACACGGCACAGGTACCGTGACACGGAAGTATCAACCGTGACACGGTACAGTTCACCGTGTCACGGTATGGGAGACGCGGAAATTACACGGAAACAGCTCCGTGTCACTAGGAATCCCACCGTCAGACGGTGTAAATTCCCGTGACACGGTGGAAAATGCCGTGACGCGGGAGTTGTTTAGGTACGAAGAATGCGAATAGGACATGGAATAGCCCCGCGTCACAGCAAGGGCACCGTGTCACGGGGATTCCCACCGTCAGACGGTACAATTTCCCGTGACACGGTGGAATTGCACTGTGCGCGGTGATTCCAGGTTATTACCCGTTTTTAAAACCATCATAACTTTTGATCCGTAACTTGGAATGAGGCATATAATATATAATTGGAAAGTTTATTAAGTCTACTTTCCAATACAATTTTAATCAAGTCAAAATAATATGTATATTTTATGATATGGCCGTTTTAGTGGAAGGGTGTCGGTTTTAGGCCGAGTTTGGTGTTTTGCTCATATCTTTTTTGTTATAGCTCGGAATTGGGCTTATGATATATGGTTGGAAAACTTATTTAAATGCCTATCTAAAAAAATATAATTGGATCAAAATTGTATTGCCATAAAATCAGTTTCTCTCAGTGGACACGAAAGGTGGAAAATAGGTTATGGTTTAGGGAAATGAGCTAGAAATTGGATTGGTTCATGTAATATATTGGATAGAACATGGATTTAAGCACTCCAAAGATTAAATACTCAAATCGACCAATAATAGCAATGAAAGGTGTTCATCAACGGGTTTGGTTTTGGGGAGACATTTTTAGGTGTCTACAGGTCCACAAACACCTTTGTGAGTATTTTCCATAAGGAGTATGGCTTCAGGTTGGTCTATACACAATAAACTTTGACCATTAGGTCCTTTTTTCATAATTGACCATTTAATAGACCATATTGGGCCGCAAGTGTTCGTAAGGCTCGTTGGTCTTTCGATGAAGTATTTTCGGGGTATGTGCCATGGGTAATATATTGGAGGATATGATCATACCAAGGACTGTCTCCTTCAATGCCATTTATTTCCTCTATTGCGTTGCAATATGTTGGTTCTTCTCTTCTATCAATGCATAATGGCATCATATTTAAGTGATCTGGAATGTTGATCATTGAAGCTAATTTTGCTAGCGCATTGGCAAATTGATTGTCATCCCTTGGGAGATATTTAAAATCAATATGTTCAAAATGCTCGATGAGTTGCTCTAGGTGTGCTTGGTATAATATCATTGTGGAGTTCTTTATTTTCCATTTTTTTTAAGTATATGATTTATAATCAAACTGGAATCTCCATATACCTCTAATTTTTGCACACCTATGCTAGTTTCTGCTTCTAATCCAATAATGCACGCTTCACATTCTGCAGGCATTATTGGTAACCTCAAAGTCTAGTTTAACAAAGATTGGAGTATGTGCTCCCTCTAGACTTATGAGTAACACTCCTACGCCACATCCTTTTTTATTGGACCCACCGTCGAAGTACATTACCCATTTGTCATCTTGTGTCATGAGAATCTCTTCATCCGGAAGATGAGTAGTTTTTGCACGACTTGTTTGAATTGGATGTTGGGCCAGAAAGTCGGAAATTACTTTTCTTTTCATTGATTTTTTAGGTATATATTTTAACTCAAATTCGGCCAACATCACCAACCACTTAGATATTCTTCCTTGTATAGGTGGTTGTTCAAACAACTAATTTATCGGTTTTGTTGAGAAATCACATGAGTAGTGTGTGGTAGCATATAATGTCGTAATTTTTTAGTTGCCCACACTAATGCTAGGATTGTCTTTTCCAAGGTGCTATATTTTGTTTCATATTTAATGAATTTTTTACTTATGTAATACATTGCACGCTCGACTTTTTCTACCTCTTGTGCTAACATGGCGCCTGTGGCCGTGTTTGTAACTGTAATTTATAGCCTAAGAGGTAGTTTGGGTACTGGTGGTTGATAGTATTTTGAGATAATCTTTGATTTTCTCAAAAGCCTTTTGGCATTGATAGTCCCATTCATGTTTCTCCTCTTTTTTCAATTTTTTAAATATTGGCTCACAAGTCATAGTCAATTTGTTAATAAATCGACTATTGTATTGTAGTTTGCTAAGGAATCCCCTTATTTCTTTTTCTGTTTGAGGGGGAGGCATGTCAACAATTGCCTTTATTTTAGAGGGATCGATCTCGATGCCACGTGTGCTTACTACGTATCCGAGTAACTTGCCAGAAGTTACCCCGAAGGCGCATTTTTGTGGATTCAATCGAAGTTTCATTCGTCGAAGTTTCTGTTTTACTAGTTTAGAGGTAGGGTTCAGGGGAATGGTATGTTCTGCAATTTCCCTATCTATTCCAGGCATGTCCTTGTATGACCAAGCAAACAAGTCTTCGAATTCTTTGAGCGTCGATATGAGGGTCGATCGCTCTTCCGGATTTAGAGTTAAGCCAATTTTGACTTCTCTTTAATTTTTGTTAGTTCCTATATTAACTATTTCAGTTTCTTAAACGATAGGGTTCTTTTGTTCTCGTTTATTCATTAATTCAACCAATTTATTAATGTTATCATCTTCATTAGATTAATTGTTATAGCATTTGAAAGATTCAAGAAAAGGCATATACTCGGAAATAGAGCTCATATTATTAAAATCAAAAGAGAATACATCAAGAGAAGAATCCTTTTTGGGATCTTCGTCCTTAGAACTAGAAAATAAAGACTCAGTAATGGCCACAAGGTCTAGATTTTCAGCTTCCCTAGAGTCTATAATAGATTCATCGTCCGATTCTTCAAATATCTTCCCTTCGCCTGTGACGATTTTCTGCTTATCGCCTTTGTGATTGGTCCATTTGAAAGATTTCCTCCATCCATGCTCAAAAGTTTCATTTGAAGGGGTGATCAACAAGGTTGGGTCAAAAGCTTCATCTTGAGTGGCGTTTTGATTGGTCATTGTAGTGACATCCCATCATATCACCCTGGATTTGGGTGTTTTGATTTAACAATACTAAGGTCGTCATCCAAGAAGTAGCAATCATGAAATATTTCAAATCCAGGCTTCTTGATTCCTTCCAAAACTAAGGGTTCTGGAAAGTCATAGCATGGGTATCTTCTCCCTCCCTAATGAATTGTCCATTAAGGGTTTGTTGGTAGGATGGGAGTAAAGTGATTATCCCTTTCTTATTATTGTCTATACATGCTTTTTTTTCACATCGTGAGACTCCAATTCTTCTTTGGTTGGTTTATATCCCAATCCAAAGGAGAATCTTTTCTTTGGGATAAGAAGTAAGAGAGATTTCTTCATTCCTATTCCCAAAGGCATCCCAGGAAAGTAACTACTTTTGAGTAAGATGTTGTTTACTATCCGGGTGGAATATGGATCAAGCTTGAATGGTTCTTCAAAGTCTTCTTCCATTTCAATTGTGTAGATTGGCTCCGCGAAAAATCCCCACATGTCCTCTTCATCATTATCATGGTTTATTTCTAAGAGTGATTGATCATTTATTGCTATTTTGAGTGGAGAAGCATGTATAGTCATAGGAAGCCCTTGATAGTTCAACCTAATAATTTGATGAAGTGGGGATGGTATTGCATCAAGCTCATGTATCCAAGGACGTCCAAGTAGAAGGTTGAATGTAGGTTTTATGTCCATAACATGGAATTCAACCATCTTTTGAATTAGGCCTGTGGTAATTGGTAGCTTAACAGTTCCACACACCGATCTTCTCGAATTGTCATAGGCCCTAATGCTTTGTGTTGTTGATTGAAAACCTTTTTCTGGATTAAAGCCTAAGTATTTTGCAGTTCGCAATGGGCATACGTTTACAACTAACCCAATGTCTACCAAAGTTAGAGGGATATTGTATCCCTTGCACTCCACGGTTAAGTATAATGCATTGTTGTGGGTAGTGTCTTTTGAAGGTAAATCATAATTAGTGAAAATGATTGATTTGTCGTATTTCTCGCTAGTAAGCAAGCTAACGAGATCCTGAGGGGTTGTGTCTGTGCTTACAGACAAAGCCGTTAGAGCGTTCATGAGAGAATTCCTATGTTCTTTAGAAGTACTTAGGAGTTCCCAAATGCTAACATTTGCCTTGGATTGGCGAATTTGTTTGACCAATGGATCTTCCACCTTAAGTGGAGGTGGTATTGGATTTTGTACTTGACCTTGAGTTTGATTTTGTGTGGTCGAAGATCCATTTGGTGGTGGTCACTACTACAAAAATGGGATAAGGAACCACATCTAACTCACCATTAAAAATACTTCTTAGGTTTCTTAGATTAAAGAACCATATATTTGAGAAATGTGGTTTCTTAGAAAAACTATAAGATACCACACAATAGAGATGTATGGTTTCTTAGATATAATAAAGAATTAATCAGATCAAAGACACCATACATTAGAGACATATGGTCTTAATATGGTGGTAGGTGTATATATACGTGGGTGGGTAGTATAATTTTTATTATATTTTTCTTTATTGTTTTAAGGGGTTCCTTCTTCTCCTTCACTAAAACCCTCGTTATCAACGCCTAATGTTTAAATTGTTTATTTGCTTCCCCTTATAGTCTCATTTCTATAATTTTATTTTTGTAGATCTAACTCCTTGCTCTTATAGTTTTTCTAAAATCTCAAGGATACAGACTTATGAAGGATTATTAATCGAGAGACGACCTTGAAAAATTATTTTCTTCATAGCGAATTAGCGGTTTTCAGATCTGCTTCTTTGATGAACTCGGTGAGTTTTATTTCTCGGTTTTCAAAAATTTCTATTACTTTGCTTCATAGTAGTATAGATCTTGCTACTTGATATTTGCTTTTATGATATATTAATAAAACAAAATTGAAGGTATGGAGAATCATTGTTGTTTTTAATATTGATCTGAATTAATTTTGTAGATCTATTGCTGATTTAGTTTTCTATTTATTTCAGATGTTAAATGATAGAAATTGGCAAATTTGGATGAGCTTGATGACAAAGTATATATAAAGGAGGGGTTGTGGTATGATGATGACGGAAGCTAAAGACAGTGTCATTGTGTCAGCCATTTTCATATTGAGTTCATCTTCAAGAAAAATAAAAAACAAATCTAAGTTTTGTTATCATTTTGCTTGATGTTATTAGTTTATAATTTATTTACTGGTATATTTTTTGATGAGGGAGTTACAATACATTGTATAATTAGTTTGTATTCTAGGCTTCTAGCTTTGAGCATTGAAATTAACGACGATAAAGAATCTTGAATATCAAATCTCATTCAATGGAATTTTTTTTTTCACATCTCAAAATTACATTTAATATTGATTATGTTTGATTTGATCTTAAAAACGTATATGGTATTATAAATGTAAAATATTACAATATACAGTATTATAAATGTAAAACTACGTACATACAAAGGAAGTCTAAGAAACCATAGTTGTAACAACTTTGGTATCCTATTCTTTATCAAAGATACCATACTTCAAACAAAACAAGTTTCTTATCCTTCTATATGAAGTACCATAATTGAGACCTAAGAAACCATATATCTTTGAACTATGGTTTCTTATGTTTGATCTAAGAAACCAAACTAAAATTATTGTTTCTTATGCTAAGAGACCACTGAGATACAAACCATACTATTTGTGGTCTCTTAAGCCTATTTAGTATGGTTTCTTAGCCATTTTTTGTAGTAGTGGGTGCTTAGTAGACTCGCCCAGAACGAGTTAAATGATCTATATCGTTTGGGTTTGTTGTAGGACTCACAAACCAACTTTCTTCTAGAGGCTTTGGATGTGCCTCCAATTCAAGATGTTCCATGAGTTGTGCTTGATGTCATTGTTCATCCAAGGAGAGATTCGATAAATCTTGCGACTTCCCCAAGAAATAATCCCAATCAAGCGCTCCATTTGTTTCATTTTGTAAAGAATATGGAGGTGGGACGGCGGCATACTAAGAGACATATAAGTCTTAAAAGTCATCGTCCCATAGTCCACATACTTCATTAGTTTCCCTTATGAGTATTGTGGATAGAGGTTGTCCTATAGGTGTGATATTGTCCAAAGGATTGAACATAACACTTCCCATATGGTCCTCATCGATGTGAAATACCCCTAAGGGAATGCATTATTGTTAGGTTTAGGCGTGGGAATTCTCCCATCGTCTACTAAATCTTGTATTTTGTGCTTTAAGACATAGCAACGTTCAGTATCATGTCCAACGCTTCTATGATAAGCACAATAAGCATTACCATCCCATTGAGGAAATCTTCTTTCTGGTGGAGTGGGTGGTGTCGGCCCTGTTGGCACAAGTAAGCCTTTTTCATTTAATTTTTCTAACAATTCTTTATAGCTTACAGGAAATGGAGTAAATTTTCTTTCTTTTATCCATCTTTTAGGATCATCATATCGACTTGTGTTATTGTATTGCGTGGTAGTCGCAAATACGTCAATAAAGGATGATGCATTATCATTCCCCTTCTTGTAGTTATTCTTAGGTTGATGATGATGATGAGGTTTGTTTGCTTTTTCTTTAGCAAGATCATCTTCAATCCTAGTAGCCACAGAATAGACCTTTTGAAAAGTGTCTAAACCAAGGTAACGTAGATGTTTGTTGTACTTTTCATGACAACTATCAATGAACTTTTGTACTAACTCGAGTTCAGGCGGCCTTTGGGCGAGGTGGGCCACCTTTTCTCGCCATCTACCATAGAAGGCAAGGAAACCTTCATCGTCGCCTTACTTAAGCATCTCTAGTTCACGTAAAGTTGACTTAAACTCTACGTTACTCTCATATTGAGTAATGAAAGCCGAAACTACATCTTCCCACGTTGCCTTGAATTTTGGATCTAGCCCATAGTACCACTCTCTTGCGGTTGGGTCTAGAGATAAAGGGAAATTCAAAGCATAAAGCTTAAGATCAACTCCCTTTAATGCTATGGTGCCTGTAAAACACATTAAATGGTTTTGTGGATTATTGGTCACCTTAAATATTGGCAAGTCCATAGCTACAAACTTTTCCAGTAAAGCAAGTCATGCGGGAGGAGCAAACTTTCGGCGTCGAAGTACTTGTTCCCCATTGTAGAACGAAGAACTAGCTTCTCCAACGACTTTTCTTTGATGGATAATTGTTCCATCTTTTCTTGCAAGGCTAAGGTTTCAGCATTTTTCTTTTCAGTCTTTTCCATTTTCTTAATTCTTCTCTCCTAAGCCTCTTGAGCCTTTTCCTCTCTCAAAGAAGAATCTCTTGTTGAAGTTCTTCGATGAATGACATTGTTGTTGGACTAGGATTAGTTGTCGAAGAAAAGTGGTTTTAAAGGGGTTGATCTTTGGGTGGTAAACGTAGAATGTGAGTGCCCGGGAGTCTTCTTTTCCAATCTTGGAAAACAACCCAAAAAAGGAGTACAAAAGGATAAGTAAATCGATACACTTGTTTAAAAAGGGAGAAAAAAAAATAAAAGACGCAAAATATATTCAAACGGATAACATCACCCTTAACAATTCTTCGATGATGATATCGTTCGGACGAGTCAATTTGTTTTTTGAGAAATCAAAGTTGACTCGTTCAGTGGGCGCGCGCAAGTGATTCAGTTGCGCGCGGTTGTCGCGCGCAAAGGAATCTCTTACGCTGGGAGGGGTCGCGCAACTCACTGAGTTGCGCGCGCCACCTACTCGTAGGATTTTTTTTAATTCGAGCGTTTTCTTTTGTCATCGTTTATTTTTATTTGATTTTTTTTATGCTATCCTTTAAATATGGCTCTAAATCACGAAGAGACAACTTCACAATTGGGAACCTAGACCAAACTAAAAAGAAAAAAGAAGACTATCCTAACACGTTGCATATAGTTACATACTCACATAAGCATGCCATAAGCCAAGATTCACGCAATGCCATTCTAAGCTCAAAAAAGGCTTAGGTGTCCAAAGGTACCATATCTTAAGAAACAACGCACAAATCAATCACTCAACGTGTTGACTTATGGCATTGCCCTCCCAACATTTTGTTGGCGATATGGGTGGGATGATTGTTATTGATTTCGGGATAGAAGCCTAGTGTTGGAAACCCCTAGTCAATGAGCCAATCCCCAATGGTTTAAGTGTGCTATGCTTATGCATGATGCAATGTTGCTTGTTTGGTTTTTACTTTTGTGCAAATGGAAGATATTATGCGTTCAAATCTCGCTCTCTAACTAGAGATTATCCAAGTTAATTCCCGTTACAACCCATAGGCAACCTAGTGTTGGAAACCTTGGATCATAACTATGAACTAATCATGTAACATCTAAGTCCCTAGCGGAGTCGCCACTATAAGTTGGGTGTTCCCATCGTAAGGGGTCCTCTCCTTAAATGCCTATGGCCCTTTAAAAGCTTAGGACTTTACACTTGTTAGGGTGTAGTAAGATTTGAATTCCTGACTGTTTGGGGGACCTTGAATTAGAGTCATTACGCTTTTTGTAAGAAACAAGTAGGGAGTCGCCAATGAGTTTTAGGAAAACTCATAAACCTCGTTCATGCTTTTCTTCCATGTGGAGTTCATGGAATAATTAGCACAAATCATAAGTTTACCCATGCCCAAATTTGTCTATAAACCAGAAATGAGTTCAGGAGCGAGGGTACTAAAATAACATTCCCTTTAGAGAGGAATCGTTATCCTAGCCCTAGTGCGACCTCTACTAGCTCTTCCTTTTTTACAATTTCATCACCAAACAAGATATGCAACGCGATACCTAAAACTATGTTAGTTGATTTTATTTACACATACCAATTCACGTAGGAATTACATCGTAATGTCGTTATTCTTTATTTAATCAATTTCGTGAAAAGGAAAAGAAAATAAACAATATTCGCCATGGCTTAAGTGATCAACCAACAATTATTTAATTCAATTCCAATCTTTATTTAACGCAAGATACTATGTGGAATTGATTAATTAATAATTTTAAAGGTGATCAAACAACACTAATTAATTAATTAGGGTTCTTTTAAACAAGAAAATAAATGTGATTTAACTAAGTGCTCGGGAATTTACCGTTTAGAACACTTATGAACTCCTTCTTGTTGGGGAACCTCCACCGTAGTAACAAAATATCAAAGGGGTGAGTGTTTAGGACAAGAAGGGCTAGGTTGCACAAGTTCACAAGTATTCTGCCAGAGTTTTTTGGTTATTTTCTATGTGTTTAAGCCTCGATTTAAGCTCTTATTTATAGGGAATGATTAGGTTTAGGGTTATGAGCATTCTGTCGCAGCAGGTGTCGCGCGCAACAAGATGAGTTGCGCGCGGCACCCCAGCGTAATTGATCAGGTTGTGCTGCTACGGGCAGCGCAACTAATTGTCTTGCGAGCGGCTTTATGGTAAGATTCAATATTATATTTTTCGTATAATTCTGAATCTTCCGCAGCGCAACTCTGGAGGTTGCGCTGGGTGTCGCGCGCAACTGAATTAGTTGCGTGCGGCAGCCCAGCGCGACTGTTTGAGATGCACACGGCTTTTTCTGCAGCATCATTAAAATTTAACCTATGCGCTCTTAAATCCGTCATTATTGGGTTTTAAGCACGGGCTTAAGCCTAATTATGATCGGGTTTAGTTAATTGGACCTTTGTTTTGGCTTTATTCTTTAATTCGGGCTAGTCTTATATGTTTTGTGGCTTAACTAGTTCTCCATAAGTATTCTCCACTTCGATCCAACACGAAGATGGTTTTATTTATTGTCATTGCACTTCCTGTCGTGACAGGAAGCCAAAAGTAGATGTCTACAGGTTTGGAATGTTGTCGAGTTAGATTCAATCGATTAACGGTTACTATCGGGTCGGGTACGGGTTTAGATTCAGGTCATAAAGTATTGGATCAAATCAGTTGTCCGTTAACATCTGGTTGGTTTAGGTCGGGTTACGGGTCACTAGTTTCACCCCATTGTTCGGGTACAGGTTAGGTTCATATCATTACCGGTTCCAGTCGGGTTCTCGAGTCGGGTCAATTTTTGACAGCTCTAGAGGCTACCTTACCGCCTGTTCTTGCTCTGGGGCAAGACAAACGGACAATTCTTTCTTCAATAAACAAGCTAAGTCAAAAAACTTAGTGGCTTATCTATATTTCACGAGGTCTTTTGCCGGTTGCATTCAAGAAACCGTCTGCTCTACATGGCCGTCTGTCGCTTGGTTTGGGGAAATCATTATAGTGATTGATTCACTTAGAAACCATGCATACTCTTTAAAGTATCAATAATTTCTAAGTCAATTAATCCACTCAACCGAAACCAACCGACATCCGTCCAGGGGCAAGGATATTCACATGGTATAC